GGGCCATGAATCCGAGTGACCAAGAAGCGCAGTTCATCCAACATCTCCTCGGTACCTGAGCCACATTCTTTAGACGCCTTGACTCCGTCGACATCATGTGACCAATGCTTGTCGGACCGTTGCCTTTCACCCACCTTTTTACTACATTGCACCACGACAGTCGACGCACCTATGCAGGAGCAGGGATTAGGGACTTACTGAGATAAGGGATGCTCAGTGCTGCCTATGCAGAAGCTTCCAAGGACTGTCCAGGCTGCTAAATGCGTCAAGGTCCAAGAACAGCATCACCACATTCTTGAAGTCTAGATAGCTCTGCGAATGCAAATCTCCCGCAGCAAACAAGGACTCTGCGACTTCCCGGCTCAATCCAGCAGCCAAGGCTGCCTTGCAGAATTGCTTCTTGTTCAACTGCCCGTTTCCTCCTTCATCCATGCGTCTGAAGAGCAGTCTTGCACCCAGAAGCGCTTCGGATCGAAGCCCGGAGCCGAGGAGACTCAGAAGCATCCGATAAGTCCAGCTCAAACTGGCGCGCTCTTTCAGCCGCAGCTCAAAGTGCGGGTGTTGAGGAATCCAGAGTCCCCAGCCATTGTTGGCATCAGCCTTCAGCATTGCATCGTAGGCGCTCTTGCAAGGACCATGCGCATCTTGCAACCAGGATGTTCGGAGAACTTCGATAGCTTCAGGTCGCTGGTGAGCATGCCTTGCCATCATGTCCAGTACGACCTGCTGCACAGGAAGCGGGCATGCGGCCTTGATTCTATCGAGGTCACGCCAGTCCAACCCTTTCTCCGACAGGATGCGCTCTTGGACACCCCCGCGGCTAAGCTGCTGGTAGCACATGGGCAGTGAAGCCGACCGCCTGAGCGGACTGCTTGTCATCACTTCACCACATCCAATATGGACTGTGCGAGAACTTCCTTGTGTATTTTATGTACTCGTACTATAATACTGGACGTAAGCAAACCCTTGAGCTCGTCTGCAGGGTTCCTTCTTAAGATGGGACCTTCTTGGCTTGAGCGGAGGCTGGAAACACGCCAAAGAAAAAGACAAAACGTCCGAAGCATCGCCGGGTCGCAGGTTGAAAAACGGAAGCCAACCGGTGAGCAGCTCAAAGGCGGTGACACCCAACATGTAGACATCGCTCTTGGAGGAGAGGTTCTCTTTGGCAATGACCTCCGGTGCAATGTACCGCGGATCGCCCGGAGCTGCAACGAGAGCGGAGCCTATGCAGACCGTCGTATGCCCGAAGTCGCACACTATGCAGAAGGGCGAACCATCAGGTCGAACCCCGCCGATGAGGACGTTTTCGGGCTTCAGGTCGCCGTGCAGGACAAACTGCCGATGGCAGTAGGCCACAGCACTCACGATCTGCTGCATAGCTCCTGTTAGCAACTGCGGCACGATTGCACGATTCCCGAAGAAAGCACAAAACACACATAAAAAGGCCACCAACATCCGTGTGCTCCGTTGCTCGTAGACTAACACATGCTTGTACATTTGTACATGCCTGAGATTGCATGAGTGTGTTGCCCACACCACCCCTCAAGTCTTGGTGTCTTGTAGGCGGCTGTGCCTACCATTCCAGGGAAATGTCAGTTTTGCAAGCAGAGAAAGGCATCAACTAAACTTGCCCACTTCAACCGCGGGATAGTGCGGGTCTACAGCAGTCGGCAGTCGACACAACACACACGGACGCAAGGGAATGGCAAACAGGAAAGACAAACCGCCAACACCACGCGAAACTGTTGGCTGGATCTTTTTGTTGCTATCCCATGTCTTAAGCTAGGTAAGCTAGGTAGCTGGCAGCAAGCCACCAGCGTAAATCTGCCACTTTGCACTCTTGCAGGCGGAACAAGCTCAAAAAATGTGTCCTGCAATCCATGGCCCGCCGTCGCGTTCCGCAGCATACGTCGACAGGGTGCCACCGGGCGCCAGCTCCGTGACAATGAGCACCTCACGCGGAAACTTCACGACCTCAAAAACACGAAGCAGGTTCGGGTGAGCCAACGCACGGAGCACGCTCACCTCATCTCCTGCCCCCTCCTCCTCCGGATCCAAGCGCTCCAGGTGTTTTACTGCGACCTCGCGGCCACTCGAGAGCTCTCTCGCCTGAAAGACCTCGCCAAAGTGCCCTGCCCCGATGTGCTTGATCTTCGGGTATCTGCACCAGACAGCCTCCTCTGGTAACCCCTCTACTTCGTGGCAGCATATCGTATTCCGATGCCTGCCGGCTGTTGCCAGAGTTATGGGGCAAAGCCCAAGCAACGTCTGCTGGAACATGCGCACCAGAGACGTGAGGGTCTTCACAGGTTCCTCTGGTAAAGGTTTGCTTGCAGGTTCCTGGTACAAATGATTGCCAGTCACGCTGACGGCCTCGAAAGCGGGATCTTGAGCGAGCGTACTTGACTCATCGACGTCGCCGGGGCCAAATGGAGAAGTCAATCTCTCTAAGTCGCCGAACGAACCATCAAGAAGGCATCCCACTCCGAGCTGCTCCCGCATTCCCTGGATCAACGGTGCAAAGGATGTGACGTGAGTCTTGCCTGTGAGACTCACCTGCTTCACATAAGCGTCCTGTGCAATTGACAAGAAAAGGTGCGGCTCCCTCATCAGCAGCGTGAAACGGCGTAGCGAGCTCTTCCGCTCTGCAAACTCGGCTTCCAGCATTTGAATGTGGCGTGATAAGCGAATAGGCAGATGCTTCCGATTGAAGACTGTGATGGCGAATGGCTTGCTGGCTAGTGGATCCCGCAAAGCCTGCCAGAACTCGTAGCATGACTGTGCCCAGCAAGTGGAGTCGAGATCCAGGAGATGTGCCACTTCCAGCATGTCACAGGCCGCCATACCGCTCCTTCCCTTGGCATGCACCGTCAAGGCTGAGTGTCGAAGCGGAGTCAGCTCTTGGACATCATCATCCACGAACAGCACCTCTCAAACCACGGGAGCCAGGGAGCCCGACCCCCTGATGTCTGGTCCCTACGACCACCAAGAAGCCTTTACCCGATACCCCAGGAAGAGCCATGACCAGACCCTCGGGCAGGACCCCCTTGACCCCAGCACCTGCTCACCGGTCAGATTGTGCATATGCTTGTAGCGATGGACAATTTCCGTTTTGGAATCCCACTCACCTTCCCGCCATCTGCCCAACAAGCTCCACAATCGATCGACTTCCTCTGAGGCTCCACTGCCACTGGCCTCTGTTTCTTGGTCGTAGGCTGTCCGAGCACCGTACGCTACGCCGATGTTTCCATAGAGCGCTTCGAAGCAGTCCAGTAAGCCTCCGGCATCCCGGTTCACAAAACAACAGAACTCGCGACGCCGCTACACAAGCTGATTGGCCTGCAGTCAAGAAGCCGACTTCTGCCAAGCACTTTCGCGCTACGCCGACGTACCCGCGAGTTACCAGGATGATTCTGCAGCCACTGGAGAGAAGGCCATCGAGCAGCTTGCGAATCGCCGCTACACGGCTGAATCCGCCAAAAGCCTGCTCAATCCACGCAGGGCCCAGCTCTGCCAAACGACGAAGCTGACCACGCTCGGTCAATGCATGTGGCTCCGAGACGACAATGCCACGCATGGCCAGCATGCACACTTGGGCATCCACCCATCCAGCAAGAGACTTGAAAACGTGGACGACGGTTAGTGTCAGATCAAAGTCGAAGAACACGATCGAACTTGAAAGTTTCTTGCTTCCGGTGGCAGACGGAGGCTCAAGCCTCCGGAAAGCTTGCCCCATCGAGGCTATCCACATCCACAAAGCCTGAGAAGTTTCCCATTCGGCCATCGCACGGCAGAGGACCGGTACCTAGGAGTTAGGAGCGTAAGGGCTTGCAACTCGACCCAACAGACGCGACAGCGTTATGACTAGCCTCGAAAGCTGTTGCATGGGAACGGTCTGTCTGCAAGCCGCTCACACTTCGTACAGCAAATCAGTTTTGGCCCTCCAATACCAGCCATGGTCTGTGAAAACTTGCTGCACTTGTCGCATGTGGGAACGGCTGGCGAGATTGCATCCTCAACGGGTCGGCAAATACTGTGTTACTAGTTACTAGTGGCTACTGCTTACTGGCAAAACTCACCACAACGCGCAAGGTAGGTCGCATCGGCTCATTTCACGATGCACAAACCCTGCCGCCGGAGTGAGCGACATGCTACAGTGGCAAGGTTGAGCAAAGTGGAGAAGTGACAAGCCTGCCAAGCACCGTGGGAGGCATCAACGTGTCAGGAGAGCAGCGTGATGGTCACGCCCTCGTTCTTGACAACCTCTAGATGCTGCATCTCATCGCGAAAGCAAACGACGCGGTAGTCACATGTTAGATTATCTTGCTCGGGGACAATCAAGGCTAGGGAACACGCTTCTTGAAACCGTCACGCCTTGACTTTCGAATCGAGGCTTACAGCCCAAACCTTTTTAATCGGCTACAGCGACTACAGAAGGTGCACATCATCCCCTAGATATACACAGGTGTGCCAACCTGGCAGGCTGACTGCAAGAAGCCGGATCAAACGACGCATAAAGTTGATGTTCAGCTTTTTGCTGCGATCCCTTCGCAGCAGGACTGCACATGCTATGACTCAGCCCCTACAAACTTCTGACTGCTACGACTTCATATTCAGCTTTCCCGAAGCTGTGTACTCCGGGGAATTGTCGGACTGAGCTCCATGCGCAGGCAAGATGTCCAACGGTAAGGTTCACCGGCTTCTGTGCTGCCTGCACTCGGAAGCTAGAGAAGCTTGAGCTAGTAAGATCCAGCAAGGGGCCACGAATCAAACGCCACGCACGAGATCATGTTGCACTGATTTGCAAACTTCTCCCTTCAGCCAGCTCGTGCCAGCATCGGAAGTCTAGGGACCATGCACAGCCTGGCACCGCCTAGCATTTCGGCAGTACCCCATCAGATGCGCACACTTTGCGGCATGGAGGTAGGCGAATTCACTAGTGTGAACAACTCTCATCTTTACCGGACCGCAATCTGCACTTGCATTGCAACTAGCCGCGGCTAGGCAGGGCCGGCAGGGCGACAGCGGTAATATGCGCACCACGGCAACTGTGAGCGCCTCCGCGCCTTGGAGCGCGGTGGTTCCAGAAGGGATGGCTCCGAGGTCTCTTCACTGTGAGCAGGGATGGCGGTTGTTGTGAGCTCTGCCTTCAAGGCAGAAATAGCGGCTCTCACAGGAGCCACCACCTGACGCACCCTGTCTGCCGCCCTGACCCTTTTGGAACCTTTCGGCTCAAAAGCCGACCACATCGTGAGCTGCTCGGCGAAGTCTTCCACGAAAATAGAAGTCGCGGCCAGCTGGCCCAGCTCGAGTGCTTCGCCCGTCTTTCTGTCTAAAGCTGCAGCACTCGACGCAATGCAGCGGAAAAGCTCTAGGGCGTTTTCCTGCGAGACATCAACATGCTCAGCCAGGCAATCGAACATCTCGAAGGACAGACAAGGCAGGACCAAAGCGCTGTCCAAGGTCGAAGGGGGAACCGCTTGGAACTCCGGCAATAGCTCCGCGAGCAGCGCTTCCAGACGCTGCAACGCCTGCAGCGGCGTGAGCGCGGCTTCGGCGGTCGCGTCCTTCTGGTCCTCGGCGCGCCTCCGCCCCGCGGTCGCCGAGGTCGCGGCCGCGGAGGCCTCCAACACCTGGGGCCACTCGGAGGCCACGCGCTGCCAGAAGTCCTGGAGGCTGATGGCCGGCGCGGCCACGCGCAGGCAACCCTTCAAGGAGCTGCCCTCTCCAAGTTGGAAGTCGGGAATCTCGCAATTCGCCACGTAGCGTCCGAGCTCAGACTCAGACAAGTCGGGGTAGGTCACCGAACGAAGCGCCTCGGCCATCGAGCCGTTCCTGAGCAAGAGCCGTTGACGAAGGTCTCGCCAAGTGAGCTCCGATGGAATCTCTTCGAGGGCGTGAATAAATTGCGACAGCTCGATCGAACCCTTACCGACGTGGTCCAGCAGGAAAAAGAGGTGCACCGCCTCGCGAAGCAAGTTTCAGAAGCGGTTGGAGGCGACAAGTCTCGTGCTGCGAGTGAGCCTTTGTGGCAGCATGCCTGGCCTGGCTGGCAGTGACCCCCAGTGTGCTCACTGCTGACACGAATTCTCGTCTGGAGACCTCGGAACTCCGAAATGGTGAGAAGGACTTCTGATGCAGAGTGGACTCCCGGGCCCAGGTCACAGACGCTGCCAGCCGGAGGCATCTGCAGCGGATTGAAACAACTCTGCAGGGTCTCAACCTGATCTAAACGATTCGTTCTTCGAGTCCAATCTCGGACTGCCAATCTCAGACCGCTTGAGCTTGCAACATTCATGGCTGGATATGTCGCCCAGCGAAGAGCTTCCTTGCTGGCGCGCTCTCTGCTCTCCAAGCACGTGTCACGATCACTTCAGCGCCTCTATCTCCGCAAAAGAGCCGAAGCGATCGAGCAAGCTCTGGCGAACTTGGAAGAGCGACAGGAGATCCTCCGTGTCGCGGTCGCGGTCGCATGCGGTCGCAGCGAAACCGCGCTCTTTGCCAGGCCCGGGCCTCAACCCAGTCCATGTTTCGACTGAAGCTGGAGACCGGAATGCTCCCGTTCCCGGTCTCCAATGCTGCCTCACACGCTTAGCCCAAACCCCGCACAATTCCGACAACATGCCAATGTGGGCGCTGAAGCGTTGCGAGCTCAGCTCGACACGAACAGGCGCGAGGCCACGATTGCCGTGCCGCATCAGGGATGTCACACACCTTCGGCAGCTACGCCAGCTACCCCCAAGGATCGCGTCGATTGCTTTAAAACTGACGGCCGCACCATTCGAACTCCGACTTGCTCAGAGGCTCGAGTTCTTGACTGCTCGACGCCTGATCTGGCAAACTGCACACACCCACACACCCACACGTAGCCGACATGGATCAGCAGTTAGAAGAGTCCGTGCTGTCACTGGACAGACTGGAATTCATAGTCATTTACAAGTATAGTTTTCTTTCGAAGATGTGCCAAGGCCAAGAAGGTGAGGAATTGGTGGGCAGGTTTCGGGTGAGCACGAAGCTACACGCAGCTCCTGACAGACTTTCACGTACGCACTGGTGCCTTCCGATGACCGGCGCCGTGGGCAACTTGCACTGCCCGCTTCATCGCACGAAACCTTGGCTTCCAGCCACCGGCCCACTGAGGCTCCATCGCTTACGACCCCCTGTTCACGCAGACTGAGGTAGCTGACGCCCTGGTCGTGTTGCCAAATCGTCTTACAAGAGAACTGCAGAAGGCAAGCACCTGGCCGGCGACGGCGCCAGGACATGTGGGCACAGCAGCCTTGCCCGGAGCCTCACTGCGCTCGCGATCCTCGTCCTCCGACACCACATTCGAGCCGCTGCTGAACACGCTGCCGGGCGAGATCCTCACATCCGACGCTTTGATGGAGCGAAGGCTTTCCTGCCTCACACAGAAGGACTGAGGCCACGGACGGCACGGACGCGGCATCCTGGCAAAGAAGACAAGCACACCCGGAGTGACCCAGAGCCTTTTGGCGATTGCGGCGTGGCCTGTTCGTGCGCCCGTGGCAGCCTACAGGCCGGCTAAAAGCTTTTCCGAAGCTGCGGATGAAACAACCGCCTGGAGTGCTTCGATGGCACTGGAAGCAGTGTGCTCAGCACCTTGTCATGAGTAGCTCCTCGATTGCTTGGTTTGCCTTGAGTACTAGTATTACTCATGCAGTAGCTGAGCATGGCTCGTTGGAGAGCATGGCAGTTTCTTCAACTGGTTCCAGCCGCCTCACAGCGTCAACCATGATCGCTAGTATGCAGTGCAGCCTGCCCTGAGACACTGCTTTAGAAGAAGTTTGGGCTGAGACTGCGAGAGCACGGGAGACCGCTGCAAAGCCTTGGTAGAATCTGAGCGGATTTGTAGTTTGATGGGCTGTCATTTCCAGGGGCCAGGGTGGCGGCATCTCCGCTGGCAGGAACCACAGGCAACAAATGCGGCCTCACCTCGCAGGGAACCGCTCCCGAAGTTACTCCAACGGCCTGGTGAACTCCGCAGGCCTGCGGACCGTTACGCCAGGGTGGCACCTGAAGGCTCCACTTAAAGGTCCTGCCGAACCTCCCCATACCTTACATAGTGACCAGTGGCCAGCTTCGCTTTGCTTTTCGCGGATGGCAACAAATTGGCGGTAGCTTTGTGAGACAGGTGCCATTTGGTCCTTCTTTCGGGAGCCATGCCGGCAGTCGGGCTCCCCCGGCTGCCAGACCTGGGTCCTGTGTTGTGCGCATCGTCCTCGACGTCAGAGGAAGAGCATATTTGCTAGGCAGACCTCTCGAACCCCGCAGGCATTCATCTTGGAACCCCTCCATGAGTCAGTCTGTCCCTTAGGTGTGCTGCACGGAAGTGCCTAGTGCCTAGTTGGCACATCGGCTGACTGGACCTTCAAGGAAGGGGGCCCAGAAAAACGCGAGGAACAAAGCCGATAACAAGTGGACTGATACAGTACTGAGTGCCTGAGGCACTGTAACTTGTGTGGGTGTCGCGTAACCGCAGCATACAAGCCAGAACATTCAACTTAACTTCTTGCGAAAGTTACGACCTGGAAAACATGTCGGTCTGTGTATGCTCCTTCATTGCTCGTGAGAATGCAGATTCTGCGGGCGTGCATTCTGCAGCGCTGCAGCATTGACTAAGCCGGCCCCTATCGCGACCAAGACATGCTTCAAGCCTAGAACACCCAGGCCATGAAACTAGCAATCTGAGGCCGGCTTAACTTAACGGGAACTGATGCCGCATCTGTCACACGGAAAGTCTGCGGACAGCGAAATCATCGTCAGCTGCGGGAATAGTTGCACAGAAGAAGGTCGGATTATCCGTTTGGCGAAGCCCCTTCCACTCTGTGCATCCATCTCAGCTCCTCATCATTTCCATAAACTCCTGGAAATCGATTTCTCCGTCCCCATTCGTGTCGACCTGCTTTAACAACTCCTTGGTTCCCAGTCGCAAGATGGGTTCGCCCTCACTCTTCTCTCTACAGGCATCAGGATGTGACCACGACCGAAATTCAAACTCAAACGGGCACATGAGTTCTGGCACAGGCAAGCTGCTGCCAAATCCTTACAGGGACAGCCGGACAGCACACGGTGTAGCACATTCTCGTTCAGCTGTGCCGGTGCCTTGTGAAACTTGCCCTGCACGTCGTCGCTTGCCAGCACTTCTGCAAGCCTTTTCCGGATGGTCGCGGACAACGTGTGAGTAGACAGACAGACAGACAGACAGACAGATAGATAGATAGATAGAAACATGTGTGCATGCATGCAAGAATGCTCACACAGGACATCTGCTGCAATTGCGGAAAGTTGGTTCATGCACGTGTCTTCACAGCATCACAGGCAGACAGGCTAAGTCTGTGGCTCTTTTTGGCTGATTGTTCCATTACCATCGCGATCGAAAACACGGAAGGCTTGCCAGCATGCGTCTTCCTGAAGCCGCGTGCGACAAAGAGGCCAGACATCATGCACAAGCGCTTGAAGCTCCATCGGTCCTCCATGTAATGCTTTCTGTCCAGCGTGGCAGCCTGGGCACAACATCGATGCACCAGGCAAGTGCGTCCAAAATGCAAGCAGAAACAAGTAGAACAGTTTCGGAGGACCGCATGCGTTGCAAGAAGCAAGAAATTCCGTGTAATCGATAACGCCGCTTCCATCAGCATCGATGCTTTTCATGATTTCCTGCTTATACGAACAGTGCAGCCGGACCAAGGTGCAGATGCATACACGCCAAACGCAAGATCTTTAAGCGATCCTGCAAATCCGCTGCTATATCCATCACACCGCCCTTCTCCAAGCCTCAGCTGGCTGTTACATCCTGAGAGTAAACCACGGGCTTCAACGTAGACACAATCTGAAAGAAGAAGTGCATCAAGTGACCTGCTTTGAGCTCGGCTGCAGTTAACAGACCGTCCCCATTCCTCAGAGTTCGTAGGAGATGGGTAAGCTGCAGAGAACTGCAGTTGCTGAGTTGCTCATGACTGCCGGCCAAGGCGCTCGTCCAAGGACATGAAGGTTTCTTTGAGGGCCCTCGGCTGTTGCACTCATACGGCGCAAAGAGCAAAGGAGCATCCGTTCCGGAAACTTCTCACTTCGGACCAGCTGCTGGATCTGCTTGTCATCGAGACTACTCGCGATGACTTGCAAGGCAGCTTTCCTCGCACAGTACTGTTGTTGCTCCTTTCTTTCATTCTCCGCAAGCTCGGCACCATGTCCACGTTGCGCACATCTGCTACTCATTAATGCCACCAGACGGCTTCAGCTTATTCTGCGAAAGGAAGCCTCGAAGTTTGTCGACAAACCCATCCTGACGGCAGGCAACTTCATGCAGCTAGGATGAGGTCAAAAGCTTTGCAGGTCAGGAGACAAGGAGTGACGTTGTGAAGCCTTGGTGGCTTATTGACTTACAGTCTCCTCTGTCGAGAACCAGGACCCCGCGGCCAGCTTGACCCGATACATGGTCAAGAATCGGCAGCGGTCATGGGCTAGTCTCTCCACACAAACTGCAGACATTCAAGAGTCGATTACGGGCATGTCGCTCAGCAACTGACCGAAGCACCTCCTATCTTGATGCCGAATAATCTTTGTGCCCCACTGAACGCTCAAGCATGCCGTCTTCCGCGTCTCCAAGTCTCACTCAGCTTCGCAACAACACTCTCCAGCACAGCTTCTCTTGCACGTCGTCGGTGGCAGGATGGCGGGGGTGCTCATTTATTATATGTTTTTGAAAAGCATTCTGCGTCTCTGTGGGACCGAGCTCTCTCCCCCACCCCGCCGGAGTCACAGAATGGGGCGGCGAAGCCTGCCGTCCTGCACCCTGGTTGCATCGCGTCTCTGCAAGCATAACAGAAAGAGACCGTTCCAACCCTAAGAATGCCTGATGCCGCTTCATTGGGTGCATATGTTTTTGACGAGCGCTGCGACTAGTACGGACTGCATAGAGGTACCAGGGCAAGACTGCCAGCTGAGGCTTCCCCGCCTGCAGGTTTACATCCTTGGCTTTTGGGGCCTTCTCTTTGATCCAAACCTCAGCCCAACTCCAAGGAGCCCAACTCCAAGGCACAGGGTCCGTGCGGCATTGAAACACCACGAATCACATGATGTACAAGGCAAAGCGCATCATTCAATGCTTGCTCTGCAGTATATCGCTCCTTTGGATTCATCTGCAGGAGATTCTTGATCCTTGGCATCAGGTTGCAAAATACATGCGACATGTGATGATACAGCGTCGTACAGTCAGTGCTGTCATGCAGCCTCTTCAAAGGCTGGCATTACCTGGCTGCCAAGATGCAATGCCTTCGCGTCATCAGACACATTTTTCCTCAGATGCATGTCGTTGGCAAGCTGGGGAACCCACAATCTTATGATCTACCTGACTTGGCTTTATGTGCTACATCTCTCGTTGTCTTGCTCGTCTTGGAAAACGGAACGAGGTGAGCAATCCACGCATACCAGCTTTGACGACTTGACGAATGGCAAGCGTACTGGGCCTTATGTGACATCATCACCTGGGAAGAGAGTCTTAAGCAAATTCAGCATGTTGATGCTTTGAGTTTTATCCTGTTGGCAGTGTTTTTGCGTGCCGCAGATGATGGAGGCAAGTGACCAGAAAACGGCAGAAACCAAGGAAGCACAAGAAAGAGAGAAAGGTGCGTAATCTCAGGAGGATGCTGTCTTGGTTCGACGCACATCGTGCCACATCACATCACTGTGCCGCAGCACACACATACACACTCCCAAACTCGCTCTCTCATGATGACTCTGTCATGTATTGATCTCCCACCCCGTTCTACCACGTCAACACGGACTACGAAGCCGAAGTCGCCAGTCAGCGGGCTGGAACTTGACTTTTCCCTGACGCACCTGGGGCGCCCAATGACGTGATTCTAGCGTTTCAGGCTCCAGTGACCCATGCCTCGTCAAGAACTTCCTGGTCCGAATCTCCATAAAAGGGCGGGTAGCCACACAGCATAACATACCTCGAAACACGGAAGTCGCACGCAATCCCACAGCAGCAAGCTCAGCCGAGAAGCATGATCACACCCAAGCTCCACATGTCGGCCATGTGGTCATACTTTCCTGCCAAGACCTGCACAGTGCCACAACTCACCCACCAGCTTGGGGAACGGTCGCTTGCTTTCCCAAAAAGCACCTGTGGTGCCACGTAGTACGGCGTGCCAGCCTTTGTATTCAGAACCTGGACCCAGGAAGCATAGGGCAGACTTGAAGCTCCCTTCTCGGTCCATGGCCTGCTCCGCTGTGAACTCCCGCGCCAGTCCGAAGTCGATCAACTTCAAGGTGCTTTTCTCGATGGCTTCCTGGCAATCAGCTTCTTGGTCCGTCTGCTTCAAGGCTTTCAGAAGCTGTATCCCTGTATCCCTCCTTGGTTGTGAAGATGAAGTTCTCAGGCTTGAGATCTCGGTGTGTGTAGTGGGACCTGAAGCAGAGCCGTGGCCAATCTCCACGTAACAACAAAACACTTCAATCACGCAGTCGGCTTGCAGCGCCAGTCTAGGTCTGGCGCTGGTGCATGTAGTAGATGGCCCTGAACATGTTCCTCGGAAAACATGCAGTTCTTTTCCCTCCGGTCCAGTCGCACAAGCATGCTATAATGGGCTTCTGCACACCATGCCAAAAAAACGAAGGCAGCTCAGGCAAAGGTAATGCCGGCGACGTTATCACTGCACGCATGTTCCTGCTTTCGCAGCCCCCCGTAAAGTTCCGAAGCTTTACAGTCAGGTGTCTGCATCAGCAATGCGGCCTGCAGGCTTGAGGAGTAGTACAGCTAAAACCGCCGGACTAAGCCAGACAACACCGCCAGCTTGGTCCTGCCTGCTTTTCGGTCAGATGGCCATACTCGATGATTCGATCGAATAGCTCACCACCAGTGCAAAGCTCAAGCACCAGGTAGATGTTGCCTCAAGTCAGAATTGCAGAAGAGTGCTCTCGAAGTCACACAGCCGTTGGCGTGTTTGCTAGGAACAGTTGCACCGAGGGATGTAACACCTTCAGGGCGAGTAGCGATGATCTTGGAACGATTCATAGAGCTTGCAAATGTTGGGGTGGTCCAGGATCTTCATGATCTGAATCTCCTGTGACAGGCGGTTGTGCTTTACAGTTGAAACGGTTCTGGACTTCCTGGCCTTTCGGAAGGCTTCAGGACCTCGGTGATCCCCCGTGAAAAATAAACGATGCAGCATGCGGGATGTGCAGTGTGAAACCAAGTTTGCAGCTCTTCAGGGCTGCTTTGTTGATTGTCTTGATCGCACGCATGGCTTTCGTGGCCTGGACAGCATCCATTGTGACAGTGAGTTCGGCGGGGTGGAAGTTTACAGCTGCCGCCTTGTTTCGTGCTTTGCAAACAGAGCCATATGAGCCCTCGCCGATTTTCTTCTTGTCAATGTCGTAAAACTGGGTGATCTTGCCCTGACAGTCACGGCAGTCGTGAGTCTCTTGGGCGCAAGCAGAGGTTTTTAGCAAGAAGGTGCAGCTCACAAGATTCAGCTCCACCTGATTGTCAACGATCAGGCTTGACGAGGCAAAACCTGGCATTGGTTTTGTCCACTTGAGCTGCTACCTCTGAAGAGAGAGATTCAGTTCGAAAACCATCGAGAAGAAGCCTGTTGTAGACTTCTTCCCACTACCGTTGCCAGAGTCCTGAGGCTAACACGAAGTCACAAAGCGGAGCTCCCTTGGCAAATGCTCTGATGTCCTTGCCACCTCCCGCGGAAGCGCCGCACCCCATGGCTGCAAGCGCGTCTGTGAAACCTGGGGGCCTTCAAAGGAGCCTGAGGCCTTTGTAATGATCCTTGGACTTGCCACTAATGTGCCTCAGGACCCTCGGGGCAACACAGTCAAACAACTAATGTGTTGAGCCCTGGCTGTAGCACGATGTCACGGATGCAGGCACTGCAACAGAAGAATGTCACTGCTCAAGAGTGTGCAGCATGCAAAAGAGCTGAACTGCTACCGTAGGTGTCTTGCCCACTTGGGAGGTGTCGGCATTCGCGGAGGCAGGCCCGCAAGGCCTAATCCGGCACCGAGCGGAGTGCGGCACTGCATTGACAGATGTGGGCAGAGCATCGCGCGGCGGAATTCCCGCTCAAACTCACCCAGCGAATCTTCTGACCAGTCATCACCCTGACTCGTCGCTGCAAGGAGTGCATAGGCAAGACATGCCCCTGTCACTATCTATGCGCTAAATGATTTCAGCCATGAGTCACTGCTCTACCCTGAGTGGAGCCCCGGCCTCATTCTGCGAGCCCAGGTCATCCGACGACACGCGGATATGACCTTACAGCAATTCCGCAGGCCGAGCACATACTCTCAGATTCAGGAGGCTTGCGCGTGCCACTGACGGCGCTTACTGAGAATCCAACATCCACGAGATCTAAACTTGTCCGGCTCTTGAGGCCTGCAACCATGCACGATCATAGCATGGCATCACTTCACCGCAGCATGCCTGCCCCAATTCCGGGCAGCGGCAGCCGAAATGGTCATTCTCCTGCCAGTCCGACATCCGAGACCGGCAAGCACCGCCAAAACCCCTTTGCAAATTGTAGTGACAGCCCTGGGTAGCTCTGTTGTACCTATGCATGTGCATATATATATATATACTATATTTATTTGTTTATTTGTTTATTTATATTTATATGTGTGTATATATATATGTGTGTATATACACATGCATATATAGAGAGAGATACATACATACATGCTACCCCCCCTCAAAAAACAAGCACAAAAACACCTTTGCCACATGACCTGACTCAAGGCCCCGGAAGATGATGGTTTTAATGAAGGCTTGAGGGTTTGAGGTTAGGAGTTGGGGTTAGGATGTCAGTAGATTCCGCACAATGGCAACCCTCACGCTCAAAGCTTGGCGAGTTTTGTCTACAGGACCCGATTGAATGTCGTAATTCCCTTATGGTCATAAGGCTATAATCGTTTTGCTACCACTTTAGACGACGCCAACATGCAGCCATTCACCTGAAATATTAAGTGGCAAAATGACAGATTAGCCGTAAACTCGAAATTGAACATTGCTGCCCTGAAAAGCTTAAACTGAATGTTCGGAACTCAAACTGAAAACTATTGCTCAACAATCTGAGGCCTCAATCATTCAAAAAGGGTTGTTTCCCTAAGTCCTCAACCTCGGGCCCCTGACTTTAAACTGGGAACTCAAGGAAGAGACCTTCTTGCACCGTAACAAAGACCCCTACCAGTCGCTACTAAATTCCCTAGTATGGATCCGTGGCTTGAGAGTTCGCAGACATGGTATAATGGGGTTCAGGATCTGCAACTGCATTTGTTAACGGCTTAGTAGGACTACGTAACAACATTATTTGTGAGTATAAATCCCGAGTGTTATGACAGAAGTACGAATCACGAGGCTTGTAATAAGCAACACGGGACGTGAACCAAGGATCACGAATTAATGAGAGAGTATATTCAACAGATGGTACTGGTCATGAAAAAGTTGTGTCTGGTGAGCCAGTAATGGCTGTGCGAGGTGGGATATGGACTCTTTGGTACTGGTCCTGAAAGGATCGTGTCTGGGTGCATGGCGCAACGCAGGCGCTACCGTTCCCCCGTGGCTGTGCAAGGCGGGCGAACGTACAGAGTTTCCGGCACCACAAACCTAGATTCGGAAAAGCTCTGGCGAATCTTGGTTCTAACGCTTGGGTCCGTGTTAATTAACTCGGATCGTATTAAGAACCAAGATTCCTGGAACAGTTTTCAGGCGAACCTTGGTTCCCAGGCTTGGACCCTTATTCAAGATGTCCACGAACCAAGATTCGCCCGAAACCTTTCCGGGAATCTTGGTGCTTGGTTCTTGCTTCCTGGGGCCCATGTTGCTAAACAAGGCCCCGAAGTGGGTGACTTCATGTGATACTGCGGGCTAGGAACATTTGGACAAGGGTTGTTTTGCTGTTTTGTTGGGGGACCAGATATATACACATATATATATATATAGAGATATATACATATATATATATATACATACATATGAAATATATGCATAAACAAAGATGCAGATGAAGATAGTTAGACAAATAGATAGATAAGTAGACAGATGGATAAGTAGATATGTAAATTTGCGAAAGTACACCAGTACAGAATG